GAGGAAGTATTGGAACTGCCGCAAGTTGCTACTAGAATCCTGGGAAAACCATAGCATACTTCTTATTTAACATCCTGTTAGGCCAGCAACAGACTCAGCCCTGAACCTTGGATGGAATGAAAGCCCAAGGGGCAGTCAAACACAGCAGCAATCAAAAGTTAGTACCAACTCAAAGCTAGAAAGATCATTAAAATCCAGTTGTCAATCCAAAGGACCTATGCAAAAAGTTAGAATCCAAGACAAAATTAAAGGAATGGAAACCAGGAAAACCAGATGAAAGGACAAAAAGAGAACCAGAACAAGAGAAATTCCTAAGGCAAGGAGTAATTACTAGTTATTTGTGTGCCGTTAATGAATGAACTTAGCATTCCACACTAATCAAGTCCTGAAATAAGACTGCCCAAATTCAAACACAGATTCTGTTGCTTATCAGACCTCTGACTTCAGGTGTGACACTTTGCTTGCTTGTAAACCAAAAATAAAGATAATATGTACCTTAGAGAATTGCTTTGAGATTAAATAGAAGGTGACTGCAAATCATTTAACTCAGCTCCTGATACATAATCATGTTGGCTACTGTTATTAAGAGGTTTTTAATTGATCCGAATAAATAAGTAAAGGAAAGGTTAAAAGAAAATAGTTTTGAGTAGGGTAATAGTATACACTTTGCTTAGGCCCAGTCTTGGTTTATATATATTGTCCTGGTATCTTATTTAGTTTACTCTCACTATATAAAAGGTTTAAAAATTAGATGTCTGTGACTATCTGTAAGACATCAAGATCAGAAGTACTATTCTGAAACATGAAATAAAAGAAACAAATTATAAAGAAAAAATGCTAAATAATTTAACTGTTAAAATTTTAAATCTCTGAGAAAAAAGGTAAGCATCCCAAAAGATGAACACTGCAATAGTAATGAAGAAAAATGCAGATAAAAACAAGAATAATTTGCTTCCATAATAGCAGATAGGCAAATGTAAAACAAATCTCCAAGATGAACTAAGTACAAAACGGGGAAACTGCAAAGAGTTTAAATTAGATAGAATATGTTCCTTGATTATGATACTAAACTAGGTAACAATAACAAAATGATAACTGGAAAACATCTAAACGTTCAGAAATTAGATGATATATTTCTAAATAACCATGGGTCAAATAATTAATCAAAATGGCAATGTGTCAATCAGAATTAAAATGTGCCACATTGAAACACTGAGAAGCAGCTAAAGCTATACATTGAAGAAATTTATAGTATTAATGAGTATATCAGAAAAGAAAGATTGAAAGTTAACAAAAGATTTAAATTGATCTAGGAATGAATCCATTTTAAGACATTTGAAAAAAATTAAAACCAAAGAAAGAATAAATATAATAATAATAAAAGTAAAAGCAGAATGAAAATAAATGCAATATAGAGTAAACTAACAAATCCAAATGTTTTTTGAGAAAGACTTATGAAAGTGATAAACCCATGTTAACAATTTTTAAAGGCAAAAATAACTAATATCAGGAATAAAAAGAAGTCATTGTTAGAGATGTTTATTCCAAAAAGACATTTATACTCAGAGAACAAAGTAATTCTCCCTACTAATGTAATAAAGGAAAAAATTTATATGAACATTTTAATAGATACAAAAAAGTACAGTACTGCTCTTCCTAGACTAGGACTAAGCAGGAACTTCACTTAATCTAATTTTAAAGTAAACTACAATAAGCATTATATTTATTATTTTATGGTGAGATATTGAAAGCTTTTCTCCTTGGATCCCAAATGAGACAAGACTGTTATGTCATTTTTTTCAAGAGTAGAAACATGAGAATTGCATTTGGGTTAGAAATGCATGTTAATCTTAAGTAGTTAAATGTTTGTTTTCTTGGGGGTGGGGAAGGAAAGAGGGAGAAAGGGAAGATGAATCCCCAAATCTTCTTTTTTCCTATGAACAGAAAAATAATTTAAAAGACAGAAAAATGTCAGCAGCACCTGAGGCTGGTGTTAAAATGCAGATGCTGCTGGTGTGAAAGAAAAAGAAGATGGCAGAAAGCCAAGTAACTGAAGGCGATTTAAAGAGGCATAGGAAGAAAAGGCAGGCCAGAGCCCGGGAAATGAAACACTTGGAGACCGAAAATGGAGATTTTTGAAATGGTCTGTGTTTTATGTCTTACTTCTGTTATATTATTTTTATTATTCTGCAATAAATGTTCCCAAATCCTAGTACAAATTAGATTATTTGCTTTTTCACGTCAGAACTAAGAATTGTCTATGTTGAATATGATAAAAATTAAAGAAATGAAATGTCTTTAAATGATCCTGATTTCTTTCAAAGCCCCTCACATAAAAACTAACTACTTTTCCTCTGTTATCACCATAACAAAAATTAAGTCAGTCATACCCAAAATTTAATAGCCATATCTAATAAATGAAAATATATAATTAATAATAAATATAGCCCAATATCCAAAGACGATTTTTAAATTTATATTTTCACTGATCGTGATGCATATCATATCATTAATAAAACTTATTCCAAATAATTTAAATGCTTGGATTTTAAGTGAAGTGAATATTATTCTCTGTCATGGGTCTTACAAATTAACACAAACCAGTAATTTTTCTAATAGAATCTTCACACTTGGTGGTTGCATCCATGTTCAGTCCCAATTGGTGGTAAATTGATAGGTTCAACTAAAAATCCAGCACCAGAATTGTTAGGCAGACAAAATAGCTAGCGTATTACCTTTCACATTTAGACATACTACGATCTTATAGACAGAAATTCTGGGTAAAATCTAAGGCTCCTACTATACCAGAAGTCAGTACTATAGACTAAAATTCTGTATTCAATCACAAATGGGCCATTAAAGCTGACATTATAAAAAATAAATAAAACCACCAAATCTGTTGGCAGAGTTTTGCCAGTACAGGAGAACTGAACCATACCAGCCAACTATAATCAAGACTGTAAACTGCCTGTTATTAAATTGTTTTTCCTGTGGTAAGCAAACAAAGATACATTGAAGTCAGGCAGGTAACAGCATTAGCTCCTGATTCGTTCTGCAGACTTTATGGAGCCAAATTGCATGTTGCCAATCAATACAGAGCCACACAGTTGTTTTTAAATGTCTTGCCACGGGAATTGGCCTGCAGCCACCATAGGAGGGTGATAAAAGGAAGCTGATATTGGAGGAAGGGACCAAATTCTTTTTCCTCTCTGGAGTCTGTGTATTTATTTTGCTATAACATCAATATTTTGAAATTCAAATCCCCTAAGGTAAGAACTCTTAGAACACGGCTTTATTCTTGAAGACAATTCTGAAAAGAAACCTTTAAGTCCTAGATCTCTGCATATATGCATCATAAGACTAAAAGAGGGAAAGATCTAGTTGTGATTTATTGCATTTCAAATATTTTGGTTCATGGATTTAAGTTTTTATTGTATTCTATGATTTTGGAATTTTCTACACCTTGGCAAATTTTCAGTGTGTACAATGTCCCCATCCAAGAGATTTTTATGATTCCAAAATATAAGAAAACAAAAGCCAACTAAACAAAGATGATGATTTGGATAGGAATTCAATTATGTGGTCTCACTTTGCCACATACTTGTTTTTATACTCTGACAAGAACACAATATACTTGATATTTTATGATTTTTTTCAACAAATAAATCTAAGTAGGTTGTTTAGATACTTTTAGTGATAGGAGAACATATTTGTCGAGAAGGCTATTATGAGTAGCAATAGGAAGTAGAGCATTTATGTATGATTATTGCATTTGGAGATAATTTTATAAAGCAGAAAGCCAGATTCTTGAGAATCCTGTCCCCTATAAATAATGTTCCATAAATAATAGATTTCCTGACTCATTCTGCTATGCAAAATGAAAATCCTTCAGTAATACAACCTAAATACACAGTGAAAGCTCTCACATTGCATTTTTTTATCCTTTTGTTATAACTCAGGCCTCTGCAAGTTTGAGCAGGTGTATCTAGGAGTTAAGTAACACAAAACTTTGTCTTCCCTACTTACTTTTTCTCATTCCAGATGTATAAGCATTTAATTTTTTCTCTCTGGGGAACATTATACCTTCTAAATACTTCCAATAAGTTTAATAGCCATCCACAGGAGGTCCATTAGTCATCCACAAGCGGTCCATTAGTTGTGCAGATGAGGAGAGGATAAAGGATAGTTATATATCTAGGGGACTGAGGTGGACTTTCTTCCCATCTAAGTTGCAAAACGTCTTTAAATCCTGTCCAAATCATCTCTGATAACCTTTGGAACTAGGATATTGCTCAGAAAATTTGCATTGAAAATATATGATGCTTAATTGAGTAGGTGCTTCTCATTTCCCTCACTGATACACAAATAACATTGTTAGGTCCTGCTCTCAACCCACAACTGGGAAAAGCTGTGGAGTACAGGGTGTTATTTCTCACACGGGGTTTATACAGACCTCTGGAGACATTTATGATCACAGGGTCTAGAAACCAGATGACAAATATGGTGTGGGGCATCTTTTGAAGGAGCAATTTTACTTGAAGGAAGGGAGAGCCAAGCAATTTAAAATACATTAGCTGGTGTGTTATAAGTAGTTGCAACTCATATGCAATGGAATAATTCACTGAACTTGTACAAATGTGAAGACAATTTTAAGTTGCAAGAATTTTATTCAGCAGAATATGTAGAGCTGTAGTATCCCATACTATCTTAGGTAGGCCACTTCTGCTACATTGAAGGCTAGTTTGGTGGGGAAGTCTGAGAAAGATAGCAGAGCAAAAGTGCCACCAAACTTCTGGATATTCGCTGTTCCAAGCACTGAGACCCTGTTCAAGTCCTACTCCCAACCTCTATATTTCAGAGGGACAAAATAATGTCACCGAACCAATATCATAGAGACTGTTTTTAAAGATTAAATATGACAATGTAGGTAAAAATCCCTTTATCAACTGGAAAAGGAAAAATGAATGTAGATTTTCTCATTTATTTATTCTTTTATTTACCTGTGTTGAGCACTTGCTGTGTGGTGTGGCGCCAGTAGGTATAATTCTTCACTTCACGAAGCATACAGGTTAGGGCTGGGGATGTGGCTCAGTGGCACTGTGCCTGCATGGCAAGTGCAAAGTCCTGAGTTCAATTCCTGATACCGGAAAAAAAAAAAAAGCACACAGTTTAAAGAGGCAGGAATGATTTGATTGAGTGAATCCATATCCATGATAGATGTTTGTGCTGAGTCTCTTGAAGCCATTTGAGGGAATACTCGAACTCAAACCACCAAAAATAGCTCACAAAGGGGGTTTTTGGGCAGAGGTGAAACTAAGAGACCCAGAGGTAAAAGCACACTTCACTTCTAACAGGAAGATCATGTTTGAGAAATAGAATTTTGAACTGTTAACATAATTATATGTTTTTCTCCAGCAGTGTTTAACATGGGATGCAAAGATCTTTAGACCTTTTGAGAACTGAGGTTTTGATAGGTGATTGTGAAAAGGAATTTGAATGTACACGCAAAGGAGTGATTTAGTGGAAAGATCGTGAACTGAAAGAAGACAGAAGGAAAGCTACTGAGAAAACAGGAGTATGGATGGAGGATGGAGAATGGCCCAAGTGAGATACAAGACCATGAAGAGTGTATGGGGGTTTGGCACATCAGAACAGAGATAAGAGTCATGGGGCGGCAGGGCACAGGCTAGAAACAATATGTATACTAGCATCCCAGTCTGGTGATACTAAACACTTGGAAGGATACACAACAAAATATTAATGGTGGTTATGACTGGGTGACAGAATTATGAGCCAGTTTTATTTTCCACGTCGTCTACATTTTTCAAATTTTCTGCATTGAATATATATTGCTTTGGTAATTGAGAGAATATTACAAACAGATGTAGTAGCCCAGAAATACAGGAATAAAACCAAACAGGTAATTAAAGTCAGTCCCAGACCTGAAGAAATGGAGAGTGATATCCGGCACCATGGAAGCATCACAGACAGACTCCAAAGTGAGCCAATTTGCCACCTTTATTGTGCTTCCTTCACATCCTCCCATCCACCGTTCACCCTCCTCCCTCTGTCACCTGGAAACACACACTGGAACTCAGTGAGAAACTCGCAAACCAGTGGCATGCGCATGCACACACACACACACACACACACACACACACAACCCTTCTGCACTTCCTTTTTCTTAAAATTACAGGAAGTCCTTAATACCATTAATATGGGTGACACACCCAGCATGTCTCTGAGCATTTATGTACAGCTGTGGATAGTTTTGCTGTGCTCTTTGCTGGCACATCAGAGGTTTGGGCACTGGCTGGTGTATTGGAGAGGCTCATGTGGGTCTAGAGGAGTCCCTGTTGAATAATTCCCATTTCCTTCACCATCTGCCATTTCTACTTTCACTCCCAATAAAACACAATAGAGAGAAGTGTATTCCCAGTTCAGTCTTGGAGATATGATTAGGCAAAAGTGGATCAAATCTCAGTAATGTTTCTCTGAGAAATTTATCAGTGCCATTATCCAGGCAATTGGAAGTTTATCTTCCAAAAATAAGCCTCCTGAATTCCACAGGCTTTCCCCCTTATTCCCCTCCAGCAATCCTGTTACCTAAAATTCCAATTCTAATCCCCTGCAGTGCAGCACGAGAGTGGCTCAGTTATAAAAATTTATTTTAAATTCAGTTTAAAGAAGTAGTAACAGATACTATATATATATATATATATGTGTGTGTGTGTGTGTGTGTGTGTGTGACTCCAGGTTTTTTATGAATTATTTTTAGCTTCTTTCTTTCTATTCCTACCTCTCTGAGCCCTGTTGTTTTGATCATTCATTCTGCCACATCCAAGGGCAGAGATTTTTTTCTTTAGCCTTATATTGGGCCCTGGAAAGGCAAAATTGTTTTAAGCTGTAGATTTACCATTTTAGTTTCAGCTTAGATAGGCTGCATCTTATACTTACCCTTATGTTTGGTGCACAAATGTTCTCTGACTCAACTTCAGATTTCTTTGCCAGACTATTCATCTTCAGTTTTGTCATTCGGTACTTCATGCAATCTGGAAAATGTCACACACATGAGTTCTAAAAGTGCTTTGGCTCTTAAGGGAAGCTCAGACAATAGCACAGGGAGTGCTATTAGCCTAGGAGGTATCAGCCCAAACAGGAGCAATCTTGACTCTGGATCAGATAGACCTGTGATCCAATTCCTTCCCTGCCATTTTTTACAAGGTTGTGTGATCTTCAGAAAATTAGTTACAGTGGTACCTCAATTTATGAACTTAATTCCTTCCATAATTCTGGTCACAGAATTTGTTCCAGGATTCTGGCTGCAACCAAATTGACCACCTAGTTCCTTAAAATAAAAGTGGAATTGGAATCACTTAACAAAGCTGTTCTGAAGGGTGAGGACACAACACGTACACATTCCCAGGACAGCGACTTGCCATTAGGAGTGGTAGTTTACTTCTTTCCCTCAGCACCATCCTCTTGAGGGTGGCTAACCATTCACCTGTTAAGGGTCAGCCATTGTCTTAGCATTTCTGCAACTGGACTTTAAGGGAACAAGTCCCAAGGCAAACATTGCTGAGAGAGAAATAAGAGTTGTGCCTAAGAATTCAGACAAAGGTCATCTAGGGGTGGTCAAGCATTTTAGTAACACTAACATTTCTCAAGAGTGATCTAAGGCCAATATGAAAGCGGATCTACGCACCCAGTTGGTCCTAAAATTAACCTGCTTTTGTTCAATACAGAAGAACTCCTCAGATTCCTTTTAAAAGCTCCCAAGCCAGTCAAGACTCTTGGGCTCCTTCTCAGCCTAGAACTGAACGGCAGGTGAAACTGTGTGTGTAGGAGGGTTAGGGGGATAGATAACTAGTTGAATTCCCAGGAAGAGGGGGAAAAAAAGATTCTGTTGCTGTTCAGACGGTTCTAGCATCTTCTGATCCTGTCTTACACATCCAGTGACATCATTAGTCCATGACACAAATCTTCCTAATAAAAATATTTTTCCTACTGATGTAGGAGACTAGTGCATGGCAGTGTGGTTGGAGCAGTTGGGCACAAGCTAACCATTGCAGAGCCTTGTTAACCACAGGTGCAGAGCGGCAGCTCCCGAGCCTGACACGAGATCAAGCAGAGCCGTCCACCTGGTACCAATCTTGTGACACAAGAACACGCCTAACCTGGCCCCTGATCTCAACCTTCTGACTTGTGAACAGGCTCAGCCTGTTGATGCCAATCTTCCACCACGGGATCAAGTGGGACCACCTGGATCAACTGCCAAGGAAACTACAAAAGGACGGCAGCCAGCACCTTCCTCTTTCCACAGGCATCCATTCTGCTTGCAGGACGTATCTCTTCTTTTTCCTTCTCAAGCACCTTTTTCTCCTTGAGAGTTTTTTTTTGCACCTCTTTTTCCATTTCTTATTTTTATCCTAAGAGTTAATCTTCCACCTTTACCAGTTGTTCAGTCCAAGTCACCGGACAGGACAGTGAGAACCTGGAAAGTGCTATTTAGACTTCACTATTCTTTCAAAGTTATCAAACTTAAAACTTTTTGAGCTAAGAAGCAGAATATGCCTTTGATTCTATTTTTAAATTTAAACTTTCCTGTGACCACTTTTTTCTCCAGCAGTTTTTGTTTTGTTGTTAAAATATCTGCCAGAAGAAAATACTTTTAGAATACTCTTTTTAGCTGGGTATACAGCTCAGTGGCACCAAGCCTTCCTGGCAAGTGCAAGGTCCTAAGTTCAATTCCTGGTACCAAAAAAAAAAGTCCTTTTGATAGACTTCTAGTTCTAGGGATAAGAAATCAAGGAGGGATATAAAAATATGAGAAAAGGAGGAAATGGACACAAAGACTCTAGGGAAGGGTGGAGGGGGGGCAAAGGGAGGGAGGGAGGGCGGGTGGAGGGGGGGCAAAGGGATGGCAGGGGAATGGGGAAAAAATAACCAAGATACATCATGGAGAGTACAAGAGCCCAGTGATGAATGTAACTATTATGTATTCCTAAAATGTACCAATAAACTTAATGGGGAAAAAATAAGATATTACCTTTGCGCCTGCTGCTTTTCTGCCTTGCTGGTTTAGAGAACAACTTCATTTTTCAGGTTTTAGTTTTTGAACTTAGGAATATCAAATTTTCCAGACTGAGTGATGAGATGTCATCTGCTTTAGTTTTCCCCCTTCCCCTACTGGGTAGCAATGAAAGAACCTAAAAAGTTAAGGTCTGTTTTAGCAAAAGAATCAAAAGCTACAAAGAAACTAGGATTGTGAAAGCGAAACCACCGCTGCGTAATGCCTCAGTCAAGAAGTCTTTATTGTAACTACTCAGCTTCCCTCAATCTAAATTCTAAACAGTGGGAGAAGTGGCTAAATTGATGTTTTTATGACTGTTTCCCTGATGGAGGCTGACGATGGGCATTTCAGAGAGGCATAATGAAGAGATTAAGAGTCAAGTGGTGGGCTTCTCAGCAGTGAAGGACCAACAGGAGTACTCAAAAGTGTGGACTCTCCTATATTCAAATCAGTCTTGAGATCGTACCGTTCTCAGAAATTCCTTCAGATTTTAGGTGGATAGTCACCTGCATTCCCAACACTCTACATTAGGATGTTTAGTAATAATAGCAGCCCCAGTAATTGGCAACCTAGTAAAGGGGAACAAAGAATCAGGGCCAGGTAGTTTTACCTAAGAATTTTTACACAGGATAATAATGGCCACGACACTGTTCGCTGTTACATCCTTGACACGGAGAACAGTACCTGTTCTGTTGGAATAAGTATTTGGTGAATGTGTTGCTGCATTGACCTACACTGTGATACACTTAGTTTAACATAGTTTTGTACATCATTACATTGAGTCTAAAAGCTTACAGTCTCTATAATGTAGGTATCATGCTACCCACTTTACAGATGAGTCTCCAAGAGGTTGTGCAACTTGCCCAAGCAAGAAATTGAGCTGAGTCTAAAATTTCAATAGCTGTGTTCATTCATCCTGTCTTATTCTCAGTCTTAAAATCAAGACCTAGTAGGGCCTGATGACAACAAAACTAAACTGTCATGTATTCATACATTAAATACTAAGTGCCTGCTAGTGTATGCTAAGGACGTTGCCAGATTCTCGGATGACATAGACAAGGACATAAGTTCTCGTCCCAAAAGTTATATAAATTATTATACAGAGTTCTGAGCGTGTTTCAGATGCAAAGGTACTGTGGACAGGTATGAGAGATTTATATCCCTTCAGACATCAAAAGATATGAATTAAGATGGTAGACCCTTGGGTGGATTCTCAGGCAGAGGTTCAACTGATACCATGTGACATCTTTAATTCATGTATCATACTCATTGGCTCAATCTCATTTGTCATTTCCAATTTTAGTAAACTCGTTCATCCCATTTCCAGGTTAAGAAACGTTCGTTTTATTTGAAGTTAAAAGTTCTATGTTAAAAACCTGTTCAGGTATTTCCTTTTCTAATCTTATGATTTTTGTTCTTATAATATGCACATTCATGTTAAATTATGCACCAAAAAGTTAGAAGCTGTTCACCAAAAGGCAATGGAATAATGATACATATCACATAAAAGAATTTTCCTACTATTTTACTCCTGTCTGTGTCCTAGCATTAGATGGGTTTCTATTTATATGGGCAATTCTTGAATCACATAGAAAATTCTTGATGCCATACAAGTCTCTTAAATTATACCCAGGGCAATTTTTTATTTTTCTCCTTTTAATTACTGGCTTCTAATTCCACCACAGGGAATTTAATTTTTCCTATCTTTGTAAGAGTCCACCTGTTGTAAATGTTTATTTAGGTTCATTTCTAAAATAAAAGTGCTTAGGAGAAGAAGCTAACCAAAACAAGCACACACAAACAAGCTGCAGATTCTAATTAAACAAGTTGCTGATTCCAGTTTACTTTTCGTTTACAGGAAACAACCAACAACTTTTGTCTGTTTATACCAAAATACCTTCCCACCTGTTGGATCCTGTTGGGCATTTCCTGCCAGGGCAGTCATAAAGATGCTTCTTGGGAGTTTACTGTTCTAAAAATTGTAAAAACTAGTTTGAAAAATAGCTAAATTATTATTCCAACTGTCGGCAAACTATGTGGGAACTTTTTTGTAGCTATGAGTTGGCTGGAAGTAAAGAAACATTACTATTCAACTCTTAGGGCTCATGACAAATTGTAATTCACTAAAACTTTTGGTTAAAAAAACTGATAAAAGGTTTACAGTAGTCATGATTTTGTCACTTTAGTACCACTCAAATACATATTATGGCTGTTGGATGGATATTGACAATAGCTAAATTTTCTATATCCCAGTATTTTTCTAAATACTTTTCATATAAAATCCATTGTGTCATCACAAGTCAATTTAGTTCATGGTAGAGGAATCAGATAAATTAAGTCCCAAGGATGCATGTCAAATATAATTAAAGAACAGCACTGTCCAATCAAACAACATAAGCCACATATGATTTTCAACTTAATAGTCACATTAAAGTCAAATCAATTCTAATTTTAATGATTCCAAAATACTATTTTAGCATGTCATTAATTCTAAAAGAGATACGTTAAAATGTCGCATCCATAAAAGAATATAAAGATTCAGTCTGTATTTACATTTATGGGACCTCTCATTTTGCATTAGCCAACCACCCTGCAAGAGCTCAATTTGCAAGAGTGGAGAGTGGCTACTACATAATGATGCAGCTTTCAAGCCTAGGCTAGGTTGTTTGGTTTTCCTTTATTTGGTTTTTGACACCTGTCACTGAATAACTTCAGGTGGTGTGTCTTGCTGATCATATTGGTAAATTAAGACTAAGTATCATCAGGTTTAAATAACACGAGTTATATTGTGTCCATACTGACTTGAGTGTGCGTCATGAACAAGCTGAGAATTAAATCTCGCTTGCTTTGACAAACTGGAAGCCCATTCGTGGTGATAATCCTAGCCCTGTGCTAGCCATTCATCTGTCACCCTGTGCCTCAGTTCCACTCTATATACCATCAGGTCCCCTTCTTTTCCCCACTTACCACCCACCCGTTTCCTTCTGCTCGTGAGGGAGGCTTTCTTTTCGCCAGAGATGCAAATGAAAACAACACTGAGATTCCACCTCACCCAGAAAGTATGGCTACTATCAAGAAATCAACAAATGCTGGCAGGGCTGTGGGGAAAGAGGAACCCTGCTCCACTGCTGGTGGGAGTGTAGACTGTTGCAACCACTGTGGAAATCGGTATGGAGATACCTCAAAGAACTAGGACTGGAAGTCCCATTTGACCCTGCTATTCCACTGCTGGGGATCTTCCCCAAAGAATTAAAAGAATCATACCTATGTTTATAGTGGCACAGTTTGTAATAGCTAAAACTTGGAAACAGCCCAAATGCCCATCAACTGAAGACTGGATGAAGATGTTTGGTTTTTTTTTTAAAGTGGAGTACTGCTCCGCCATAAAGAGAAACTATAGACATTTATAGCTAAATGGATGAATATTGCGACCATACTAAGTGAAATAAATAGGACACACATGTGTAAATACCAAATAGTTTCTCTGGTGTGAGAAACAAAGTGTAAATAAAGATCAAAATGTATAATAGATAATGTGAAATAGGAAGAAAATGTCCAAAGGGGGGAGGGGGAGGGGAAAGGAATAAATATGAGAAAAGGAATAAATCGAAGCAAAGTCTTCGAAAATAGGAGTGGAGGGGTTGAAGGGAGGATGGGGGGAATGGGGAAAAAAATTCCCAATGATGAATGTCGTATACCTAAAATGTACCAGTAAACTTAATAAAAGTTCTATATTCTAATTTTCCACTTAAACATTTCCAATTACAAAAAATTATGCTTTGTGTTGGCTAAAATATGTAACTAAATTCTGTTCTCAAGTGAGAAATCATATCAGAAAGAAAACTCAGACAAAAAGGTTTTGAGCAGTAATGTAGAGAGGGCCTGAAAAAACAAGGAATTTTCCAGTCTTTGTGTGCAGCACACCTGAACTAAAAGGAAAGACTTCAGTGGTGTTTCTTCAAAAATAACTGTGCTTTTTGCTGTGTAATTTCAGCAAATATCCAAACCTGAAGAGTCATCACTTTGCAACAATAAACTGAAGGGTCATAACCTATTTATATTTCATCCATTTCATTCCAAAGGCAGAACCTCTGGCAGCCCAGCCCTGCATGGCAGGTTGTGAAGTGGTGCAGTAATGATTCCCCAAATCAAGAGTCTGAGGTCAAATTCCCTGTCATTAAGTTGGGTAATCTCAAACAAGTTCTATAACCTTATCTCTAAAATAAAGGAAACATCACCTTTGTCATAGGTATATTATGAAGACTATATTGGATCAAGTAGGAAAGAATTCTTATCCTGTAATAAGTACTCAACAAATGCTTACTACTATCACACTGGATAAGGAGATGATACAAAAATATTGCGTAAACTTCTTGCCTTTTACATGCTGGTGATTTTGTCTATTATACATCTGATCTATCCAGATTTTTTCCCCCCGAGTCAACATCACAATCTAAAATCATTTGTTATGTTCTGTAAAGCAGAAAAAAATTTTTACTGGGGCAGTGAAGATTATTCTTGTTAAACAGTGTTTATATTGACCATGTAACTTCTTGATTAGTTCTTGGTGGAATTCTGGAAGTGCCACCAGAGGCTTTATAACCACGTTATTAATATCAATATAATTAGAAACAGTCCTTTAACATCACTGCTCTCGAGCTGTCAGACCCAGCAATCTCTTTAAGCAACAAACAGTAACTCCACCTGGGCCATGTATCGCACCTGGGTCTGCGTCTGCTTAACACGGGAGATGCCTTTCTCTCGAAGATTTTACTCTGGTTATCAACACTGTTGTAACAGCATATGAAAAACACATTTAGACCTCCATTGGCTCAGGCTTTGACTGCACTGTATCACAGCTAGGCAGTCTCTGAAATTCACATACATGGCCTAGAGCAGCAGGAAACCTATGGCACTCGTGATATTTAAGATAAAAGATGTTAATGTATGAGTTTCTTCTAAACCTCAGTATGTGGTTTTAATTGCAGTGTTGGCACTTTGTGATCAATAGGTGGGTTTGGGGTTCCAGTTTGGGTGCTCATCTCCAAAAGGTTTCCACGTCACTGGCCTAGACTTTGTGCTTCTACTGCACTGGTTACATTTTTTCATTTCTGTATTAGAGATAATCGATATATTTATCATATAGGGATATTGAAAATTCCTGATAAATGGTAGTTATTCACATCAGGTGTATGAGTGGCAGAAATGGAAGGAATTAAGTGGCAGCAGTAGGTAATCTTACTGGTAGATCTGAGGTTGAATTACGGCTTATGAAGCCATTGTACCTTTCTAAAGTCAGTAACCTGTATCAAGATACGAATGCAAACCCTTAGAATTTCAATAAGTTTGGTGTTTTGAATTTATTAAAATGGTGTACAATAATTCTATGAATCCTGAAGTCAGGAAACAACTTACACAAACTGAAGAAAGGAACAACAGGAAAAGATATTCTGAGCATTCATTTCTGGTTTCAGACAACTATGAATGATGACTGGGAAATGTTCTTGCTGACTTTGGAAGGTTTGTCATGTTTTGCTGTTAATATGTGACCATAATTTAGGCCATTAGATTTGTTTCTTTTAAAGATTAACCACTTACTAGTTTACCCAGCATCAGTCGGGCTGCAAGTTTGTTCACTTACTATCCTGGGTGTTCAGGCAGGTGTCATTTTAACCAGTCAATTCTTGTATTGAATAAATTTAATAAAATTGTTTTTATATTTCCTCTTATA